GCAAATAAAATGCTACTTTTATTCAAACTCTCATTCTATTTATATCACATTTATATTCGTAATCAACAGAATAAGAAAGTGAACTAGACGCAACCAGAATTTTTTTTTTATACAAATATCATATCATCAATGCACAAATACTTAAAAAGTAGCATGAGGTGTGGGCATAGAAGTAGAACACCAGATCTTTTAGCCCTCCAAATTTGAGGATGTTCATTCTGTCAAAGAGAAAAAATAAGATAGATGGGAGTAGGGAGGAACAAACAATCTAGTAAGTTATCCCTCTCGCCACCGACATCCCAATAGCCATCTCACCTCTCCACCAATCACCACTAATATTTTATGAAAATTTACCTGTTTACAAGACCAGTGTTTGCCAAAATTAACACAAAATATTGAGATTATATCCTCTAAAGGGTTGGGGATTCGTGGTACTCTGATACCATTGATAGGTGTGAGAATTGTGAAGATGAACAGGTAGAGACCACACCACACCCTAGTTGTGCTTTATTTTTATTTTCCTATGAAGGAAGTTGGTTATATTTTATTATCTTTTATATGATAAGAATGACAATGTGGGGGACAAGAACAATTTATTAGAAGGAAAGGTTATGAGATCAGCATCTATCGCACACCAAGTCCCCTTTTATCCTTGTGCGGAGCTGACATGACTTTTACATAACAAAGTTGTAACTTCAATCTTGCCATTTCACCAATAAAAATGTGATGGACTCACACAATACGTTGAGTAAGAACAGTACGAAATTAGTCTGCTTCTTCTAACCTTGACTTCCAGAAATATTCACTATATTACAATATATAGTAAGTAACGTAGAAAATCTGTAAACCACCTCTTGAACCCTAATACATCTTGCTCTTCCTACAATATGCGATAGTTTCTAACTTGACCATTCTCATTGAATATCCAAGAATCTCTATAATTAATGCCTATCTATAATGGTACCATGCTTGCTCCAAAAAGAAAAAGGTACTCATAAATTATGAATCCTAAACCAAATGAAAATTTGAGTCAGATTCTAACAAAACTCTCCCTTTAGTTAAATCCAATAATTACCACACTTACCATAACACAAGTCATCCACCAAACAAAATACATCTTTTATAAAACAAAAAAGAAAAATCAATAACACCTTAGTATCATTCAGGTTTTGTAAACTAGATGTAAAATTAGATTTAAACAAAACCTCCAGTCAACCTCAAAATGATTCAAAACTATGGTCAACAGTGAACATGCAAAATTCATCTCTACCAACAAACCAGATCTGAGCTTACTGTAGTCCACAATATATTGGACCACACCCAACTCCAATGGGTACTATTAACTTGTTAATCAGACCTGAGAGTCTCTTCCTTCCAACTTTTGGATCGCAATTAATTTCTGACAGTGGCCTCTCCTGTGGCAAACTAACAGTAAAAGAAACTCAGTTATGGTAATCTAACTAGGCAGATCAAAACTTACTCTTTGTTCTTTCCTTTCTTTTCCCCAGGAAAGTAACCAAAATCTGATAAACTCTAGGTGGCAATAGTGGCAACAACCAGCCCTTAGTTTCCAACTAGTTGCTCCTGAAGAACAAACAGGATGCTCCTGAAGAACAAACAGGATGCTCCTTCGTGGCAATCTTTCCCATGAATTCGAAATTTTAATTTTCTTTTTTTTTTTCCTTTTTTTCTTTCCACAGCTTCAGCCACAATCACAATCCCAAAATAACCAAAAAAACCATGACTCTATCGCATTTCGCTTTATTCAGGATTCGTGCAATAAATCGAAAGGAAGAGAACAAAAAAAATGTAGTTAGGTAGCTCAAACTTACATCTATGGGAATATCTACTATATTATAATAAATAATGACTACAATAAGTATGGTGAAACACTTTCTCAATCACCTCCTGAGTCCCAGTACCTCTCTCTCTTCCCTGGGTTACAGGAAGCTATAGTTTCACTATATATACCATTGTCTTATTATCAACAAATCGATACACTCAAAACCTTGCACCAAAGCCAAAAAATTACTACAATTGATACCTATTTATAGAGATAACTAAGAAAAAAAGTCTCATCAATTTAGGAATCCCAAACTGAAAAAAGAACTTGGGTTAGACGTTAACAACAAACCACAGCAACCAAATGGTTAGGGAGAAAGTGCAGGGGGGAAATATTATATTTAAGGCTTTTTCTTATCAGGGAAATATGGGAAGAAAGGATCTTATATAAAATATGCAAGGTCATAAACACAGTTGGTTGGTACCATGTCACACCAACATGGACATATATTGCAGCTATCATGCTATAATTGCCATATAGTATGGAAACTTAATTTTCCACATAGAAGCAGCAAGAGCTTTAAAAAACTGAAAATTTTTAGGACTTCAAAATATGAAAAGGCAGGAGTACAAATTTACCTCTTTCTGAAATTGAACCCAACAGAACATCATCCTCACCAAGTACGCGTACTGTGAATGGACATCTAACACGGTTGCAGGCTTCAAGAGCTGCATTAGAGGATTGATACTGTTAGTTATTTATTCCTAGAACAAAAAATTGAAGCTTGTATTTTCTTTAAAATCCAATTTGTCAAACACAGATCCAGAAGTTTGTTTTGAATGCCTCAAACAACAAACAACCAATTCACATTAAAACACTTCATTTAGTAAGAAATAAATGATAACAGCATACAAGATGATTCATTGTCCATTTCGGAAAGTAGGAAATATTTAATTGTTCTTGTAAAATTTTACATCAAATGTCAGAAAAGCTTCAATAAGAATAAATTACCACTTGTTGGTGTTCGAAATACTGCAAGTGCTGTGGTATCATTGACCCAGCGAATGACAAATCCTTGAACATTAAAGTCCTTAAAAAGCTTCTCTACATCTACTGTCCTCATGCTTGGTAGAAAATCAGCAAGAACAAGAACATGACGTGTCCCATATTTGGCTGCATTTGTAGTAACAGATCATTAGACATCAAGGTTATTTGACACAACTTATTTTAAAAAAAAAAAGAAAAAAGAAAAAAGAAAAAGAAAAACAAACAATGATAAATATATTATTCTGGATTTTTGGTGGTTATGTTACAGTTCTTACTTGATTTCTATGAAAACCACAAGGGAAAAAAGTAAAAGATTTTCTATAAGCATAATGAACTCAATAACACCATGCAAAACTGTAAGGAAACAGCATGCTTATCTCATAAGGAATTCCACGTGATTAAAACATACGCCAGTCTATCTGGGAAATAAATATCAGAATGACCTTTTTCCATCAAAGTAAATATTTGATAATGACAAAAAACACGTATTTGAGATGACAAAAGCAACCCATTTAATTAACCTTGTGTAAAACAACAAGTTTCAAATTTTTTCACTCCTTGATTAAATTTTAATTTAATTTGGAATTTTGATGCCAACTTATCTTTTGCATTACAGCTATTTTTAGGAGTAATGAAAATGTGAACAAGCAAAACTATGCAGATGCACTGATATATATATATATATATATGTATGTATGAAGCAAATGCAGTGAAAATAAGAATGTAAACTGAATAGAAAATTTGGAAGTGCATAGTTTACAATTTATAGATTCTTTCATTCTTTCCGAATCTGCGGGCTCGTCTTGATGTTCATCATCTTCAAGGATAGAATCATCAGATTGCCGGTCACTATACAGCTCATTTTTCTTATAGGAGAAGGTTCCCCTTCCACGCTTCTTTGGTCCTTCATCTTCGGTATCTTTTAATGAAAGACTTGATAAGTCAGGCAAGCATTGCGAGGAGAGTAATTCATTGGGTTCACGATCAGCAATGGCTTCCCAGTCTGCAATATGAAACAATAGTAATTTTGGCTCTAGCTGGATGGCAGTATATAGTTCAGACATAAGATGTTAGCAAATAATTAGCATAAATCTAAGAATTGAAATAAAACCTGTTTCCTAGTAATAGATTAATCAAAAGATGAAACTGTTCTTGAAAGCAATGCAGTTCAGTGATTAGAACACTGCCAGACCAAAGAGTTACATAGTGATGCCAGAGAGCTAATAGAATCTTAGTTTTTTTTTTTTTTTTTTTTTCCAAAAGAAGGCTACGGAAATTCCTCTCTTCTTTATTTACCATTGGTATCATGTTTTTGCATCATATTTATCCACCTTTCGACATATACAATTTTTGAAATGAAATTGTTGGTATGATGACATCCATCTTCCAAACTGTCCCTAGAGCCAGAAGTTATAGGCACCACCAGTGACAAAGGACTAAAGAAATTAGAATCAATCTTTTTCTTTTTGAGAGAGAGAGAGAAGTATCTACTAAACAACCTTTCTTGTCAGTACTAAGGAATAATTTAATGGGTATTTGGAAATGTCCATTTGCTGCTTGTAACTAACTTTAAATATATTACTCCAATCTACCTGTTTGATAACATACAAAGCATAAAGATTTTTGCATGCCAGTAAACAGCTTCAAACAAAAAAGTAGGCGCCTGTCCGCTAACCTTATTTGTATAAGGACTTAGAATGCCTATTTTCCTAACATATTCAGTTCCATGGTTATCTTTACATTTATTTTTTGTGAAAAAAATAATAAATAATTTTTGGCTTACAATAACCATCTTTTTCCAAACAGGTAATTGTTTATTTTTTCAAAACCAACATTAACATCAGGTGTCTTATGTAACTTAAACGATAACAAGGAGGTGCTTTAAGTAACTTAATTGATACTTTAAACACATTTATTTCAGCAATTGCAAACACCCCCTAAATCAGATTAGAAAGAAGATATATCTATCTTTAGAATATGACAAATAAAATTTTCACACTTTCTCCTGTTCACATCCTAAAACTTTTCCAACATAAGAAAAAGGACCAATCTAAAGCGGAAAAATTCCTCAAGGTTCACATATCGACCAATACTGCAACTGTTTTAGTTAAAGAACATACAAAAGCACCCTTTCTTTCAAAAAAAAGAACATGGTACTTGCAAAGGTGTGACATCGAACAGCAAGGATTTCATAACAAGGGTTTTTCTTAGACTCTTTTCATATTGAACTATTTCCGTAAGAAAAAAGGCCAAAGAACAGTAATGTAAGAAAATGATAACTAAGACCATAGCGGAGCAGCATGATTGAACAAAATCTATTTAACATACCATCTTCTGAAGAGGCATTGCCAAGCCCGTCACCATCCGGTGCTTTTGTAAAGCCTTTTTCAATATTCCCTTCTACAGAAGAAAATCAATTCAGCATCAGTTACTTCGTAAAACTATTACTAAAGGCAATAGCAATGATAAAGAACAAATCTACTTGTTTTTCAGTGATTAACCCTAGCGCCGGTGAGTAAAATAGAGTCTAAAGTAAATAGACACACACCATTAATCAAAGACGCGTTGTAACTTGAATCTTTGCTACCCGAGGCAACCTGATCACCCTTTCCGCACGTCTCTAGATTCTCATCACTACAGTTTTCCACAATGTTGATGCACAATGCAATAAGCTAAAGACTGGTAAAGATTAAAAAAAAAAAAGAGAGAAAAAAAAAAAGAGAGAAAAAAAAAAGCAACACACGCGTCTGTAATTTGTTATCATTTTCCAACATGGGGAAAAAAATCTTGAGTTTGAATAATTACTTTTCTGAATTGAAATGGTGACGGAACTTTTTTCTACTACGAAAAGACCATAAATAAAAAGAAAAAAGAAAAAAATAAATCTCTGGAGTTTTCCATGAAAAAAGAAGAAAAAGAAAGGTACCGAGAAGCGGAAAGTTGAGTTGCGCATTGTTTCACTTCGGAAGCGCGAGAGAAAAGCTCCTCGGATTTGATAGAGAAGCCTTTGGAGGAACAAAGATTGGCCAATTCGGTGAGAGCAGAGGCCAACTGGAGACCGATAAGCGGCTCGGAGAAGTCATTAAATCGGGTTTCGAGTTTCGAAACGAGCGATTCGAGGAAAGAAATGGCTGCTTCATCGTCCCCTGCGGCTATCAGATCCTCCACTGCCTCACTCCAATTGGGCTCCCCCTTTCTTTCGTCGTCTTCTTTTTTCTCCATTCCGTCTACTGCTCTGTCTTCTTGTTTTTTCAAATGAAAGACTTCCTGTTTGGTTCAAGTTCAGGAGCGTCTATATATACATATATATATATATATAAAAAAAAGGGTCACTAATTTTTTAATTTTTTGAAATAACTTTATTTTATTATTTAAATTAATAAAAATCTAAAAATAAGAAAGAATATGACGATCATTAGAATTTAAATATTATAATTAAATTAAATTATTTAATTTTTATATTATAAAAATTTAATTTAATTTTCTTTATTGTTTTAAAAAATTTTGCACTATTTGTTTTAATATTATTTGTAAATTATTTATATGTAAAAATAATATATTTTATATTTTAACATTTTATTTTAATAAATACGAGATAATAATTATTGAAATAAAAAATGCTGACTTGGAAATATACAAATATATTGAATTAAATAAAAATATACAAAATACATGAATAATTCTATAGAGATTTTAAAATTTTTATTATAAAAACATTTCCATTAATAATTAATATTCATAATAATAAAAAATAAAAAGATGAAAGTACCAAAATACCCTCCATCTTCAAGGGGAAAATACTGAAATACCCATAAAAGTTTGATTCTTCTTTTTTCAGATCTGGAACCTCCCCGTCAAAAGACCAACAGACATCAGCAAGAACTGCGCAGAGGTTGATCGCTCAGGGGGATGGGATTGAAATCGCCTGTCTCAACCTCAGAGTCAAAAGAGTTTAAAAACCAGGAAGAAGCAAGAGGAAATCGCATAACAACCAGACAAAAATTGAGAGAAGATTCTTGGGGGTGGTGATCGACGCAAAATTCAGAACTAAAATCACCATCCATTGTTCGCCGATCAAATGGTCTCTGGGTTTTCGTTTTCTTGATCTTGAACGCAAAAGAAATAGGGAGTTACCCAGAATTGCTTTCATCTTTGTCTGATCGTAGATCAGCGTTTCGTCACCTTGTAATATTTGCAAGTTAGATTTACTTGCGATCTTAGCCATTCAGTGGTAAATAAACCGATGAATCTCCACCATCCAAATTTGCTCTTAGGGTTGCATGTAGATTTACTTGCAACGTTAGAAACCATCAGATCTTTATATACACGGGAAGAGATTGTTTTCTTGTTTGTCAAGACAGAGGAAACTTTTTAGTTTTACAGAATCGGGTTAATACGGTCGGGTTCCGATTCTATCATCGGCTACTCGACTAACGTTGACATGCAAATGGTTTGTATCGGAAGCTGCGACGCTGTCTATCTGTTTCTTGAATCTTTATACAAACAAGAATCTATAAATCTACGAAACTCGTCGGAAGAACTCTCG